AACTCATTCACGACATCTGGCGCGCATCCTGAAATCGGCCGAAAGTATCGGGTGTCTCGGAAGGTTCGTAAGTTGATCGATTTTCGTGAAGCGCTCGATTACACCTGAGGGCACCTCAAGGATTGAGACATATCGTTGTCTATATTCATCGGCAGTGGCAGCGGTACTTGGATTTACAGGAGTGAGTGGAATAAAGAAAAAAAATTCAAATTAGAGGAACCACTCTGCGTCGAGCGGTGGGAGGCTTCTTTGGTAATGTTACTGTTACCGTGCATGGCCTGCTCCGATCCCACTCAGATCTTTTCGGCAGGAGGGCGATATTCGGGAAGGGATTGGAATTGGGATTGGGTGGATGCTGTGGCTCTATGGCTCGAAGGGTGAGGTGAGATGAATAAATAAGAGGGTTTTGAAAGGCGGCGGTGGTCGGCCGCGAGGTTATTACGTGGCGTCACGCGATGATGTATCCGCACTGGTTCAGATTGTCTCCGCGAGATGGGACCACCGAGCGTGAAATATGCACCACCCCTCTGGAAACTCCCGGGAGGTTACCCTGCTGCCAGTACACCCTTATTCACGAAGACATCGCCACCTACAAGGAGACTGGTACACGTGCAAAAATGCGATAGCTTTTGAGGATGCAAGTATCGTGCAGCTAAAATAAGGGATGATAACAAAGTTTCTCAATTTTTCAATATATATATATACATAATCCAGCACCATCAGGATACTCATAGTTTTCATCATTTTTTTTTTTTTCACAGTTGTATTCTCTCAGCAGACAGTTCGACCTGAAGCATCGGGAATCAAAGATTTCGAAGGGTGGACCCCTCTTCTTTAAAGTATCACGCTCGATTTATCAGACTGACTTTGCTCTATTGCTTTCTCTATTGCTTATGGGATACATGTCTATTAACTTTGTACACTCTATATGGTTCGGCGTACGGGGGAACCGATGGTCCACTGTAACGTTACGTGAAAGCATTAAAGAGGCTATTTTTGGACGATGTAGTAATAATTTCCATATATATGCGGTGCACTGACGGGACATAGATCATAAGGGACCGCAGCCCGCGCCGTTCCTCTCCCAACCCGAGCCCCGTATACTCAGCCAGTGAATTTGCCGCCGCCTCCGCCACGCGGCAGCACGTGCCCCTTTCGTCCCGGCCACGTACCTCCCTCGCTCTTCACTCTTCTGTCATAGGGTTGCCAGGAACCGGCACCCATTCGACCTATTCCACCCACCACAACGACAATCCACTCAAGTGCATCCCCTGGCCATATAACCCTTCTCCGGCCCATTACCAAAACACTATTCATAACGAATACGGTGAAACCCCATTGATGTCATCCGTTTATACGGAAACTTCCCATTAAATGAATTTACGTATATGGGACCCCCTTGGATCGCTCGTCGCCTCTTCGTGCGGTTGATTATTTACCTTTCTTACTTGTCCAATTTTTATTATTTAGCTTTTACTTCTATCTTTTACTCAAATTACAACAATGGCAATCGAAAAAAAAACGTCATTGTTGACCAAGGACAAAGGTTTGCATTTTTTGGTAGTATTACGTAATAAGCGAAAGAAACGACTGTACTATTGTACGTGAACATTTTACATTGGAATAATAACTGGGAACAGGAGTAACGTATACTTGTCACTTTTGAACAGAGAGGGAAATCGATAATAACAAAAACATTAGAATTTCGTCTTAGCCGTTATTGACATCAGTATAGGTTCTTCGTCGAACGTGAACGGTCAGTTGGTAAAACCGTGAAACGTAGATAAGCCAGCGTTATCAAGCGATCTAGTAAATATTCCAAGTAAAAATAACGATTCCAGTGATTTTACACAGTTTTTCATAATTTTCGTGATAAAATGTCCGTCGAGATCGATATTACAAATTCATGGGAAAGCGTGAAGTCTTATAAACGCAGGAAAAAACGCGACGTGACATCATCGATTATACTTATCAGTAAGTCTTTTTTAAATCCTGTTATCATTACCTGATTGCCCAAAATAAGGGATCTCGAGTAAAAACTCAAATTAATCATAAATATTTATCACGTCTTTTTCACTTAACAAGTAGCTCATTTGCGCGATATAAATTAGTATGGGCGTCGTCGCGCGTGTATTCAGTCCGAATAAATGTCAACGAAAAATCCTAATTGACAATTTATATCGCTAACCCCTGGTCCCCCTCCCGCCTTAAAATCAACATGAATTTCTTGCATACTAAAAACCATAATGATCTCCACGTAAAAGCACGCGGGCGCTCTTGGACGAGTGAAATAATCGCGTATAAATAAATGGGGATGATAGATAGAACGTAATCATATTATGATCCTGTGGCCTTTAGCTCCCTCGGGAATAGCACCGGGGGTGTGTTTGACATTTAGCATTTCCCGCGGGAAGTTGCAAGAAGAGCCAGAAGCTTGTCTAGCGGTCTCTGCGGAGTCCGCATGGCGATAGAGCTTCGACGTAATCCAGAGATCGGTAATGGCCGGAGTGCCACCCGTTTTCAATTAGGCAAATACAATCGAGAACATTCCCATCGGTCGAAGGCAACAGCGTAAGATCCTGTTTCTTAAACTATTCGCATTTTAATTCGCAATGGCAAATCGCGCTCACGTGCAATTTGCTAGCTAATTCGAAGTGGCGTGAAACTCGCTCGACGGCCAACATAGATCTATCAGGTCTTGGGTAGCAATTTATTTTTGTATCAAGCGAGATGTGTCTAACTAGTTTGTCCTGGAGAAAGTAAGGGTCCTTTTCTCAAGATTAACGATACTTTAGTCCTGTTTTAAAGAGGCAAGCGGTCCCCCCCCCTCTCCCTCCTCCTTCAACCCTCGCACTCCGAAACCTCACTCTAGCTTCCGAATCCTCCTTCGGGTCTTCTGGCTGCCTGGTTGCTCCGCCGAAGTCGAAATCACCCTTAGCCCAGACCCGAGTCTCAACTTGATCCCTCCTCAAGCCCCGCGCACCCCCGTAAGCTCGCCGAGTCCCAAGCGAAGCTGAGTACCAGTGGTCTCTCTGCGGGATAAACCCCATTTCGTTATTTTATACACCCCCTCTCCCCCTCCCTCCTCCAGCCCCTCCTAGAAAAAGTAGCAATCGTTGGAACTTGAAAGCGTCGCATTTTATGATGACTACAAAAGTGGTCGCGGGTTACAGGGACGGGGATGCGAGTGAGAGCGAGACAGGAAGCGCGATTGCACGAGAGGAAGTGAGACAGGAAGCGAACCCCAAGCTCAGCCCAGCTAAGAGAGTAAGCGAGCTGCGATGGGGCTAGGGACTTGAATTGATTGCTTTCATTACGCAAAAAAGTCTCCCCCACGGCTCTTGGTATTTTTAACTTGTGCCGCGGTGGCGAATAAGTAAGTGCGCTATTTACATCAAATCTCGTAAGTTATCGCTCCGCGCGGATACGGCGCATAATGTCACTCGCTAAATCTTACGAGCGGAAGTCGCGGGTACTCGTCGGGAATTCATTTTCCGATAGTCGATATCGATGATCGATGTCGAAACAAAATACCAAAATTTTACTTAATTTTACAGGGACCCTTCGGTATACCTATATACGCGTGTACCTGGGTCCATTTCGAGAACGTGAAAGAAAAACCATATTTCATCGTAACGATTGGAAATCGATCGAAAGCGCATAATGATATCGCATGGATATTCGCGGAGTCAATCATGGCGGCCGTCCTTCTCGATTCGCGCACTCTTCGATCTTCCGCCGAATGACAAATGAGATTAATGCGAGGGCTTAGCTGGTGGATTAGGGAGGTTAGGTTAGGAGGTCGACGGGTGAGGCTGTGATTAGGTAGCCATGAGCGCGATGCACCCGCACCCCGTGATCGATGCACCCGAAGCGACGGCAACCTCATCTGCATCTGCTTCATCTGCTTCATCTGCTCTCGGTAGACTCACTTGCTCGCTTGACAACCGACTCGTTCCGTCTCTCTTGACTAGCGCACCCTGTCGCTTCGCGACGCTATCCGGCCCTGAGCTACCGCCCCTGAGCAACCGCCCCTGAGCAACCGCCCCTGGTCCTCTTCGGGCTCCAAATGCCTCTCTCATACCGAGCGACCTAGTGCAATCATGTTGGGACATATTGCACGTCAACGCGGCCGTGCTTGCTCGTTCGTTTACGCAAATTATATGCCAAACTGCAATCTCGGCTTCCTGGATTAGCGCGGCAGCGTCACGTGAAAAGTTCGACGGTGAGAAATGATGAAGTCTTCTGGATTTCTAGGAGAAATCCAATTACCGAACTCATTTTTTTTCATTTCTATAACCCCGTATTTACTCCCTAGAATCATTGTCAGAAACTAAAGGCAAACAGGCTGATCTGTGAGGAACTGCACGATCCTTTCGCAGAGCGATACTTGTATTACAAAGAAAGCTATCGTACGTATTTGATAGGGGTCTTCTTTATACGGCATGGAATGTAAAATAAGACCCCTAAACATCGGACAGTTGCGGTACAGCTTTGATTTCCATGAAACGACGTCATGCAGATCCTACTGTAGCACAGTGGTTACGCAAAGACGTCTTTCCACGGACAAAAGTCCGCGATCCCATGTATCTAGTGTCAAGCGACTATGTCTACATATAGTTAGTGGGGGAGTGTGGGACTACGTTGGTAGCGTGAAATAGATGGCATCGAGTGAACTCGAAGGAATGGAAGAAAGAACGAGCGAGCGAGCGCACTCGAATGTAAGCCGGCCCTTGTGAGATTCGCGGCCCAGCGTCGATCCCACCGGAGCTATTGCCACCTATGGCTGACCGCACCTTCCGGGCGAACCGGGCCGATCCGGCGAGATCGGAGTACCCTGGGCAATCTACCCGGAGACAGCCAACCCCGTCCTTCCTTCTGCTCCCCACTACGAGCAGGTTGCCGATTCCTTCCTGGCCGTGCAGCACCCAGCGCCTTGCTCTACCTGATCTGTGATCGGATTGCGCGACATAAACAGTCTTGTAATTAGTTGCGTCGCGACGGTAGCATTCAGCCCACACACGACCGATGCTGACCGTAGGCGTTCCGTCGCTCTACGGTACGTGGATACTATCCGTGAACATTGCGATTAATTTTTTATCGACTGCCTGTAGAATTATTGTTTAAAATAATTTTTTTTTTCTTCGAATTTTTATATAACACATACTTCAGAGTGAGCAAGAGCGAAGGGCATGCTTACGAGGAACTTGTATCTTAAGAGTGTTCGGATTTTGACAGACGTCGAGACGCCTGATATCGGTACGAGAGTGAGGACTTTTATAGGAGTCAATAATAACCGAAGGAATCTGTTAAAGAAGCTAGATCATACCGGGTGTCACGGGAATAACCGATGCTCATAGTGCCAGTCGATTTCGCGTGGCACTGTTGGCGCTCCTGAAGCCGGCGAACGTTTATTTCGCGCAACCTTTGCCTCGCGACGCCAATAACGACGTTATCCCGCGCGACGCCGCTCCCGTAACCCTGGCAACCCCCGCGGTTGACGCCCTCCCGACGTTCACGTGACCCTGCTCCCGGCCAACAGACGCTCGCCGTCGGGATGCTGGATACGGAACAAGGGCTGCCAGGCGGAGCTACTCGTCCGTGGGGATGAAACCCGACGGCGCTCGGGGGCGAGACGTCGCCGAAAGTCACGTGCCGACGCCAAAGCCTCCAAAGCCTCTCCATGCTTCCGCGTCGCTGCAACCTCGGTCAGCGCCAACTGCTTCACGTCGGATAGGTTGCCAACTGTCTGCCACTAATTTTAAACCACCCTCCTGGAATTTATTGCTGATTGCTCGTGCCTGATTCCCGATGGTGGCTAACCTTCGCTCGCGTCTCGACGCTCTATTTGTTTGCTGATTGTGGGAAATCACGATTCTCGGCTCGGACGGATTTTACAGAAACAGGGGACAGTGAAGTGTTAATCGGAGCTGATTGAGACACCAGGTATTAGAGTCAGTGAACGCGATTAATGTTCTACGAGCCAATTGGATAATTGGGACCTTCACGAAGTTTCGTAACTGCTACGTGTACTGGTATTACGTTGTTTTGGTACTTCGCGAAGTGAACCAAGTGAAGCTCCGTCGGATTGGATAAATACGAGTTTTGTGCTATTTACAAAAAAAAAAAAAAGGATTTTTTTAAACGTCATAAGGATCAATACCGATTCTGTTAAGGATCATTGTCATCGATCCTCATGATCAATCAAACTAAAGATCTGCACAATTTAACGACCTAGGGATGACACCGATCTGATAACGATGACCCTCTGCACGATTGATGCTCTTATCATCACAGAATACACATCAATCACAATCATTACTAAAACTACCAATTCTTATCTAATCGGCATAAAATTGTCCGTGACTTGAAAATATCGTTATCGTCACTCAAATCGAAAATGGATTTTACTAATTTTTGTTATTAATCGCCAGTGAAATCCTTGTTAGGACACTCGAGGGATCGATTAGAACGAAATGTGTTTTGCTCCAATAGGGGTGTGGTTTTAGTGTTCTCGCGGGTGATCGTGCTAATAAAATTAGTGCGATTAAATACAAGGAATTTTCGCTTAAGGATAAAAACGGCCAGGACGAATGTCATATAAGAAGGAAATAGCGAAAAGTTGTTCACGTGGATGACGAGATGACCCGACGCTCCGAATGGCATCCTCAGCCAGCCGTCGTCCTGTGCCACAAAGAGGATCTTGATGACAGTCATTGTCGACCTCAGCCATAGACTCTCACGAGCTGCGAGCCAAAAGGCAAAAATAACTTGTAAAGGCACCTAAGAGATCTTCATTGGCAGTCTATAGAATCAATAGAGTTCAATAGGTATTGGACACCTTGAAGCATCCAGCTGGATTCTCAGAGCCGACGGCCGGCGGGCCGAATAGTTACGCGATGGACCTCAGCACTGCTTATCGATACAATCAGAACATGATGGAATACTACACTTGTAAGATTGTTGGTCGAATCGACACACCATTTTATTAATGATATTATTTTTTTTTTTTTCCATTGACAATCTTCGAATTTCGCGCACTCTACGATTTTCATTGATCGCTTAAGAAAGTATTGGTTGGGTTCAAGTGGCTGCTTTTTGCGCTTGTGACGTCATTTTCAAATTTCATCGATTTTTCATAAGTACGAACATAATTTAGGGTTCCGTTGTCACTTCGAACAGGCATGATTTACTTTAGTAATTTGTCGACTGTATGGCGTTTGGTTACGTGTAATGTCTTGTATGGTGTTATATTATATTTTTTGAATTTTAGTCAACTTTATGTATACTTGGTTAATCTTTTGTTTTTATATATATAGCGAGTGCTGAATAACGTGTACAATTAATTGTCTTTTTTTCTTCATACTCAATTGGAAATTCGTATTTTGAATTTTAATTCTCACGCTGTCACGTTTGTCTTCACATTTATATTTCCTCAGTCACGCGGTTAAACGTAATGCGATAAATAACCTGGTGCACATAACACGTGCAAAAAATATCGCAGTTATCGCGCGGCGCGTACGGACATAAGGGAACAAGAAATATTTTCAATAAAACTCGTAAAACTTCAGCAATCGAGAAACGTGATACGCAAGTAGCAAAAAAGAAGGGACATCTCGAAATACAAAAAGTATAATGCAAAATCTGAATAATCGTATTTTCCAAAAATTTGTATTCATGAAAAATTAGCACAATTGCCCGATGCGTTTCTAACGTTTACTCGACATCCACCCGAGATCACGAAATTACGAAATGATTGACCGAACGATTGTCACACTAGGAAAGTGGCGATCGGAAGGGCACAAAATTGATCGGTATAATATCGATATAATCGATAAGTCGAAAGCCACGTAGCGATCAGAAGTAAGAAAAAAACAAAGTATCGATCGGCTTTTGCTACTCTCTTGCACTGGTATGACGTAGCGGTACATTAATCGATGAAAAACCAAACCGCAAGGCGACGGCTGCTCTGTTCTGCGTAGGAGTTTAGAATGCAAAAACGGAGCAACTGTCGCGATTAGACACTCGACGACCAATCCTCGAGTTTTTCGCGCACTTATTTCTCCAAGCTAAAAGCACGGAAACAGCCGGAAATCCTATCCGACAGTAATAACGAAATTTTTATAAAAATCTCAAAAAATACACTTTCTCACAAAATATCAATGCCACGACTTGAAAAAAAAATTTTTAAATACCAACTGAAAAATATAAAAAAATTAGAAACGTCCATCCAGCGTGACATCACGCCCAAACATAAATTCCTGTAAAACTGTTACCCGATCAAAACCGCACTCGCACGCGAGCATTTCCAGTACGTTAAGAATCCAGTACTAATGGACTAATAATTATGTAACATTAACAAGAACGTCCCAGCGACTGTTCCCATCGAACGATCACTGCAAATTGTTTTGCCACTAGCCGACGGCTCCTTCCTCATATTATCCAAGAGGCAAAAGACTACAGTTCCCGTGGTAAGCCCGACTGCACGGTGTCTATCCAATCATCATTAGCATTATGGAATCATAGAAACGCCAAAACGCCGTAACAATTGACTGAGATCGACAACAATCGGTAGAGTCACATTCGAGCGTTGCGTAATACCTAAATTTCTTTTCTTTTTCCGTTCCGTCTCGTTTCGTACGTTCCGTCGTTTCGTCGCCGTCGCGAGTCAATTTATTCCGGACGAGCGGGTAATAAAATCTTTTCCGTTCGCTCGGTACGCAAACGCAATACATAATACGGGGGTAACACAATATATATGAACAAAGCCATAAGAGAGAAATATCGAATGTCTACTGGAGACCTATATCAAACTTCTTGGCTCCTGACACGGATACGCGCGTTATACCTATTATACGTATCTATTGGATAGGATAGACGCACATATGCATATAAATCTACATGCATTTCGATAAAATTTTCCCATTGGCTGTACACATTAAAACGCTACCTAAAACCCCCTCTGTACTTCTTCACCTCCCCACCCTATCCTCTCTCAAGAATATCTTCAACCCAGCATCGTCTCGCTGGTGAATGAATGATTCTAGAAAACCACGTGGTAATACCCTGCGGTAGATCGAGCGACCGGATCAATCCGATTGATCGTAGGATCGAGGGAATCAAGAAGCTATGAGAATTCGGCCGTCCGGAAGTGGTCACCGTAGTGCCTTTACAGCTCAGCGCGCAGCTAGGTCATTTTATTCGCATCACTGTTTTTCAGCGTCATGAGATTAGTCAGAAAAAAAATGTGTCCTCCGATTGTTTCTTTCATTGCCCCCTCTACCTGCTTTCTTAATATCCCTTATTTACTACAGTATCTGCTGTACCCGTCGGTGACGTGATATATACCGAGTACCGGGAAGATGGTTCAAATTGTTCGTTTAACCGGAAAGAAAAATTTTGTATGCCAGGGCTCATAGACGGTTCGGCTAATAATAATAATAACAACAACAATAATAATAATAGTAACAATAGTAGCACCGAAGGTTACTCAGCGTCGTAACACATAGTAGTCAGCATCCACTATACAGCTAAAGGCTATATGGGTGTTCCGGGATGGTCCAGGAACCAGGGGGTTCGGGAGGAGAGTGAATCGGGAGTGAAAGAGGCGCAGGAGGATCGAAGGGTGTAATGGGAGGGTGAACCCGGCCGAGCTGGACACAAACCCTCGTATAGTTGTGGTCAGCAGGCGTGACGGCGCGTAGGGTAGAAGCCAGGCTTTGCCTACTATGTGCACAACTACTATTTCGCTACTATATCTACTTGCTCTGCCACCATGATCCAACAATCCCCTGAGTGGGCCGCGTCCCGTTAGCGTTCGGCGGGAAGCAGAGGTGGGGGTGGGGGGGTTGCGTAGGGGCGCGGGGAGGAGGGTGGGAGATTGCGACCATAAACGCGAAAGCGAATTGATTTGCGAGCGGAAGTGCGTATCGTTTCTGGTAATGATCGGACGCTCAGCGCCGCGCCGCTGAACGTTAGTCCGACGACGCTCATTGTCTTCGGTAGCGTCGATGCCCGAACAGCCGCGGAGACGATCGTGAACGTCGGCCGAGGGGGCTGTCGCGGACGTGCTGTGCGGCGGCTGCCGCTACAGGATCAGAAAGGAGGATCGATCGGCAAAAAGTCGAAGGCCGTTTCCGACTCGTCAAGAGTTTTTCTCCTCGTGGCACTACGGTCCCATCGAAACGGTGGGAACGTACCGTTTAATGCGTCACGCCCGCCATGATGTTTCATTGACGATCTCAGAACTTCTAGACTCACGGATTATCAAGATATTTCGATCTTACGGTCGATAGGTGGAACTATGATTTATTTACATTTTTACGCATGTTTACGTGCGTCGCGTGCAATGGGCGACGGTGGTTGACGCTTCGTGTAGTGCGTATTGTACGGACGTATGTTACAATTAAAGTTGAGATTGTATATTATAAGTAATGACTGGCTTATAGTGAAATTATTGGTACAGCGATATCGTTAAGTATCGACAACAATGACCACACCTTCGACGGCGCATAGTTTCGTACCCGAGTATCCGGTATCGATGTACCAATTTACCAACGCGTATCCGTATGGACGTTGGACCGTGCGTAGCAGCTCTGTAGGCGAATCCCATGGACGTGTACAGATGTGCCCATAGCGCGTGAGCGCCCGGCGAATGAAGAAAGCATATAGAAGAGGAAGAAGAAGAAGGCAAAGTTCGATCCAACGGCGAACTCGTGCGGATCAGTCGGGACGACGGGATAATTCGATAGAGTCGTCAAGAGAGTCGAGAGCCAAGAGCGTAGTAGTCAGTGGAACTGACATACCGGCATGGATACCCAACTACGTTAAAAGCTAGTCATTCTTGTTAGATTAGGATAGGCTGGTAGGGTGTCGGGACTGCCGAGGCACAGATCATCGAATCATCGGCGCACTGGCACGAATGGCAGTGCATATGCCACCGACCAGAACCCTCCATTACTGTATTAGCCTGTCTTATCCTATTAAGCTGTGCCAGTCAAGGCGACGCATTGTTGTTGCGTAACAGCGCGAAAATTTTGCCTGATAAAGGTAGTGCTAATCTAATAAATGATGTCTGTACACTTTTTTTTCTCTTTCTATTTCTAATAATGACTTTTCGTACCCTCGCTGCTATTGTTATCGTTTAGTTATTTGATTCATTGGGTCAATTCTATTGTCGAGGGGCCATCCTCGGGTGGCTTGTAACGCGAAAGAGTCCCTCGAACGTGTCACGGCTTAGCTGTATCCTCCTACCTGTCTACTTACCTGTCTCGTAATGGCTCAGCACCATAAATCCTGGGAACTTATCGTTAAGGTCTCATAGTAAAAGTATAAATTAATACGTAACCCGATACTCCTTCGTGACTAGTAATACTATTAATATATTATTATACTACGATGCTAATACACTCTCGAATGATCCTGCGTATCGAAAATATTTCGAAATGTCGTTGCTCCTTAAGCCGCTCGCGGTGCATCGCGATGTTGTTCGTTAATGCAAAATCGATTTCCTGTTTCAGGCCACGGGGGAGTGAACCAGCTAGGCGGTGTCTTCGTCAACGGAAGACCTCTACCGGATGTTGTCAGGCAGAGGATCGTCGAGCTGGCGCACAGTGGAGTCCGACCCTGCGACATTTCCAGACAGCTCAGGGTCTCGCATGGCTGCGTGTCCAAGATACTCTCAAGGTTAGTCGATGAGCTCGTCAATACGATTTAATTATTTTACACATTTGTTTCTTACACTGGCTCCAGACACGTGATACCTTTCAATCAAGATTCCGTCCAGTAAATTGTCCCTAACCTCAAAATCGTCACTGGCGACGCGTTCCGTATAGGCAACAAGACTTCGTCCCTTGTTACACTCGGTACCCTTATGCCGTACGCCTTATACGTATGTCGATTATTCACTTTAAGACCGAAACAGTAAAATCCCAATGGAAACTGTGAACGTTTCACGAACGGCCCACGACCTTCCTATGAATTGACCTTTAAAGCGAGAACATCTCCAGTGCCGAGAAGGCTGTTCTCATCTTCTTCGTCGTTTTACTCAAAAGCAAGAAAATAAAGAAAGAAGCATATACATATATGTATATACATATATACACGTTTTACGAAGAGAGGGTAGCCGAACGGGCTATGCCGTATGTGTAAGTATACTATATCACGAGATCTGCAGCTGTTCCAAGAAAGCGAACAAGAGGGTAAGGAATTCTCTCTGGCGATGATTTAATTAGCTCACCCGCGGAAGAGCTTGATTTTCATAAGACTCGCATTACGTATAAAGAGAAGTGAATTCGAAGGACGTTACGTAGGAGGGGCGCGGTGGGGCTTATAGCTGCGCCGGCAGTGGCTGCTAAAGAACCGGAAGGAAGGTCCTGGGTGGCGGAGACGACGCGATGCGGTTTCCATGTTTTTTCGTAGCACCCTCCGATCCTCCCCTTTGACGACGAACCGTCCCACACGGACGGCATACCGGGTGGCCTCGTGCCGTTTTGATGGGCCGCCTATCATTCATTTTTCACCACGAATATCATTGTCGTACTCGACGACCCCACATAATGGAAGCCTGCTTATTATTTTCTGTCCGAAAACACGTACTTCGTCCTCTCGAGTTCTTACTCACGTGCGCAATACGCGATACGCGTGCGCGAGGATCTACTCGAATTTTTGATCTTTAACGCATATATATATATATATATACATATATCATTAAATTCTTTCATCGTTTTACCCGTAACACACGCGGAAACGTAACGTAACGTTATGGCTATTACTTTTCCGATCTCGGTTATCTTTATGCGGGTCTTCGCACTCGATTAATCATCTAACGTATATTTTTTACGTATCCTCGTACGATCATTATGAATTTAATTGAATCAGATAGGAGATTATTACCACGTTCTATTATTACGGCAGTCCGATTAGCAGGCTTCGATATTCGATGGCGATGATGCTCTGGCGCCATGCTGCTTTTGATACGCACGTTCCGATCGCGCCCGCCTTTCTTCCGCATCAATCCTACCGATCGATCGATACCCTCTAGCGCGTGAATTGCAATTTTCATCGGCGAGATAAATCGTTATCGCGAGGTCGTACCAATCGAAGAAACTTTACTTTTGTTATATGCCCGCGGTAACGTATGTTAATTGCCTACAATTCGTACAAAAAAAAAATTGAAAATATATAATATAAAGAAATATTAGTGAAACATTTTTTACAGAAAAAATATTTTTTTTTATAAAATAAAAAAATTTTGTTATACAGTAATATATTTTCTTTGACATCGTTTTCATCGTCTTGTTAAACATGTGAATTTGCCGTACATCTTTTATGCTTATTGTTATGTCGTTGCTCATATACAGTTCAAGTACCTGACGTATGTGCATTGTGTATGTATGGCTGAAAGCCGTGTTTGAATATAGTATGTACACGTGCACGTGCCGAGTACCGAAATGCATCTGGATGCAAGTTTACTAGCCGAAAAGACGACAGCGCGGCGATTCTCACTCGTGAGATGTTCGGGTGGTGTTGTTAACATGCAGTTTGCGGAGTCACGCGTCGTTGAGAACTAGGCAGCGTGCTTCTCGGAATTCCGCGAGAGACTCGACTAAAAATAGCCTGGTAAAATGGCTGGCGACACCTTTCGCGGCAAACGCGACGAACCTGCAAAGCTTGAAAATTTGTCGGTGACGGTTATTAACTGGGCATACACGAGGTTGACTGAGAAGACGCGACGAAGTCTTTTCGTCGCTTCGGAACGCCGCTCTTATACCGAGCCACGAACGCCTAAGACTCTTCTTTAGCGTCTTTAGATACTGAAGGCTCCGTAGGAAGAATCCGAGGAGTCCGAAGACTCGCGAAGCGGAACGCTTTGGTGCTCTCGTTGCAGGAACCCCCTCTGATCGGTTCCTTTGTGCGGTAAGAGCCGCAACTTACACTCTTGTACGTTACTTCTATTCTGTGTTCGTTCTCGTACCGCGATATACCGTAATCTCTATATCGCTATATAAGTATATCGTTTGTTCATCCTTATACAGTAACCTCTGGTATTAACGTGGAGAACGAAAATACTTTCACGTTGGCAAAAAAAAATTTGATACATTTTTTACAAAATTTATCAAAAAAAATTTGATGAAATTTTTATTACAAACAAAATTTATTTCGTGGATGTATATTCAAATTTTTATAGATTCGCGTAATATTGAACATTTTTTGACTGTAGTCGCGATATGGGGGTTCCGCTCTTATACCGTCTCTTCGTGAAAGGTTTGTATTTGGCATACTTGAGCACACTTTAGCCTTTGATTGGGATTAATGTCGTGTTGCGTAATGCGGTCGATTTAAAAAATTGTACGTTCCTAATGGGGATTTCATGGTGGAAGGTGGCCTATGATAAAAGGGCGAGAAACGTCAACGGGTGAATATTGCCATGTGCGACACGAATGGGGTTTTACGGGCGATATATAATCGTAATAATTCCGAGGGGGTGGCCGAATAACGGCAACCCTATTTAAGGGCAATCATTGTCGCGTCGTTCAACCCTAGGTTTCACGTTTTGACAGAGGTCCATGACGATTGTATATGACTTGCCGGTCGCACTCGCACATAACGCGACGGTCATTTACGTGGAAATCGAAACGACGACATCCGGACAATCGGTTTCATTGTCGTTTTTTGCGAATTCCGGGTACTTATCATATGAATGAGTACATTTTAAACGACCGACATTATTCCTACACGCTGAACCCTCTTTTTGAGTTTCGGGACACCCGGTACAGGAAAAATTAAGTAACGTAAAAAAAAATTTTCAACCAAAAATAAGTTAATGGGAAATTTTTTTATTTTACCAGACAACTTGATTTCGTACGATAAACATAAAACAGATACGTTCCACTCTGTCCTGAGGGACGTGTGTTTACGGGTGGCGTTTGTATTTGCGAGTTCGCGAATGCGCCGAACGTGGACCCACATCCATCAAGGCGGCGAACATCGGGCCACCGGGCCACAACCGAACCATTATTGCGGGGTTTGCGTAATTGAATTTAAGTACGAGCGAAGATATTATTTAACTAATTAAGCACAAAGGGCTCGTTCACATCGAGGCCGTGCGATACAATCGGACGAGCGGCTTAAACGTCGCCCCGCATATCTACGACGGGGGGGCTGTTTGTTAAAACAACCGCGCGTTGATACGAAACTCCATAGTTGCCAACCACCAATTTATTATTTCGACTTTTCAACAGGCGCGTACCCAGTGGTACCACAACACTACGTGGTCCGTACAAAGAGAGCCGACTGCATCAGACGTTTCTTAATTACGTTCAAAATTTTAGCCCGTGACCCTACCATTCTCCTACGTTAGCCACACCATTTGTTTTCAGAAATTATTCATTAGGGATTTTTTGGTGGAAAAGGGGGGATTTTTGGAAATTTTTTACTAACGATCCTTGTAATATGTTCAAAGGTACTACGAAACGGGGAGCTTCAAGGCCGGCGTGATAGGTGGCTCAAAACCAAAAGTGGCGACGCCGCCGGTGGTGGAGGCCATTGCCAATTACAAAAGGGACAATCCCACGATGTTCGCTTGGGAGATCAGGGACAGGTTGCTGGCAGAAGGGATTTGCTCGCAGGATAACGTACCCTCGGTTTCTTCAATCAATCGGTGAGTACCAACATAATAAGACTGTGTAACGGTTAGATATTCTTGTAACTCTTCTTGGATCTTGAAACGCACGTGACTGAGGTCAAGAATCGTCCTGAGAAAATTCTAAGATTCACTCGATGCCCACGTACACCGTATATACCCTTGGATAAGAATTCTCATGTATAATAATAATATCAGGCTTACCAATTCAATAATCAAGTCAGACAACTGCCAGGTACTACCTGTCATGGCCCTAATATTCAAAGGACCCCAAATTATCTCAACCCGACTAGATAACAATAATATGAATTTCAACCCAACATGTATCGGCAACATGAAAATTATTAGGTCTACGGATCCCGTGTGCCCCTTATAGAGTAACCAAATTCTCCGGGCGGTCCATATCGTAGCGCATAACTCATTTGTGTGAATATCCATTAACGCCCCGAAACGAAGTTAGCGAATTTCACTTGTAGCGAATTCGATCCGCATTACATTCAATTTCATTATCATCCTGGTAAGGGGCTTGAGGTCGGTTTTAGGGTACGAGAGAAGAGGCGTGGATGAGCGGTAGATAAGCAGGAGATAAAGCCCGTGAGTACTGACTGATTAAATCTCGGGACATATGTGAGCAGATCAATGGGGTTCAGCTCCTCGTTCTCTCTGCTTTCTATTTATTCTCTTCCTTTACTTTCTCTCTCTCTGTCACTCTCTTGCTTTCGTTTCCACCCCTACTGAGGTAGTCTCTCTTGGACCCAGCCCCCCCTCCCCCCCCCACAAACACAACCACTCACTGAACCCCCGTATAGTTGCTCTCTCAGGAACTGGTTATCTTGGCCATGGAGTGTGTGTGTGTGTGTGGAGTGGGATTGGGGGTGGAAGAGAGCGAGTCGTTCAGTTTGTGTGGTGCTGATACGCCGTAATACCGTCCCTGGAGAGTCACCCCCTACTTCGTACGAACAACCCCCAAAGCTTGTAGTACGTACCCTACGGTAGCTATACTGTAACACAGCATCCCCCACCATCGGCATCACCACTTGCAAGCAGGAGGGACATAAAAACACTTGAATTAATCGGCCGATTCCCAAAGGAACCTGCGAAAGGTCAATGGGGCTGGGGCGACGCCGACCGGTGCATGCCTACTTATCTCGATGTACGTACGATGACGTAGAACGGCATCGGACCTACCCCTCGAGACCGATAACTAATCACTCCCTCCTCTGGATCTGGTAAAGCATATGTCGCGCGATACTTGAGGATCCCTAATGCCTCGTATTATCGCGTCCCGACGCTCTGAGCTTGTAAACGCGTAAACAAGAGGTGCTCTTTAGGAGTTCCAGTCACTTTAATAACATTGGAAACGATATGTCAATTGATACGTGTGTTACGCGAGCACCGTGCGTTGCTATGTTCAGGGTACTCGATGTAACGTTATCTGAAGTTTGATGTGCGGTGTTATCGTCTTATCGAAGGAATCGTCTATAGCGAAAACGACGTCGAGCGTCTCGACGTTTCGAGCACCGTGAAGTCCGTGTAGTTGGTGTGGAGCGGAAGGGTTGTTTTCAAGGGTGGTTCAGTGTCTCCAAGATTGCAGTGGAGGGTGCACCAGTGGCTTGTTGCTCGAGTAACCCCAGCACCTTGCGTAGCTTCGTCTCTTGAAATCCTCTTGCTGCTCTTGTTTCCGCTACCTCCTGGTTGACCTCCTTCTCGAGCCACTCCGTCCTTGTCCCTCCGACGACCCAAGCCCAGATGGCGGGTATTGATCTGAATCCGGAGAGCAGATCGCCTGGAAAAACTTACCTCGTGAGTGTATACCTGTATATGTATGTTTATCTGTCCATATGATTATCTGACTATGCTGGTTAGATTGCCGGTAACAATAGCCGAGTATCAGGTAGATGAGACGTTTAAGAATTTAATAAAATTTTCATTCGTATTTTTTTCATTCTCGAAATGTCAGTACGTGAAAGTTCATGTATTCGCAATGTGAATTTTAAAAAGGAGGTAAACAGATATTCGTTATTGCGCTTCTGCACAGGTGTGAGGGATGAACGAAAAACGGAAGCAACAACTTTACGTAAAAGAGGCTCCGGTTTGCCGGGATTTCTCTGTTAACGAGGGTAGCCGGGGTTTTTCTGTCGGACGAGTTGGCATTCCGCTTGGAGAAAATAATGATAGAGCTAATATAACGTATTGTCCTGCTTTGCCAAGACACTTCAGAATGAGTAGCCGAGCATCGCGGGCGCAAAAACCTTCACCGAGGAGTGGAGGATAATGGAGTAGCCGCCCAAGAAAATAACGGTTATATATCCTAAATATGAGAGTGGGAAAAAGAAAAGCGCCTCACGCGGCAGATTCGAGTACCATTCGACGCGGCTATAACAGTTCAAGTTGCTCTTTCTTTTTTTTCACGAGAGAGTTCAGCGATGACAACGAAACGAGCCGCCCTTTTTGTCGCGCTTCTTAACGGTTACTTAGAAACTACAGCATTTTATCTAGATGTGTATATACGTATATACACGCCTTATATATATATATATATATACATATTCAAGCTGATTTCCAAGAGCACCGACGCACTCTCCGTGGCTACAGACCGATTCGAACAAAACTAATCGAATGAAAGAAACTACAGAAATAGATACGCGAGGAGGGAGGTCAGCGTTAAAGAGGGCGAGATGGCGGGACTAAACTGGATGGTATCCGAAAGGGATGACGAGGGGCGGAAGCTCGGTGGAGTGGAATGAGGAGGCGAAAGAGGTGAAGGAGGCGCAGCGGATTTCGGGAGGAAATATTGATAGGCTCGGCTTTGGCTGCGGAGTCACGCTCGAGTAGGCGGCGCTTTGCCGAGGTCTATCTTGCTCTGCTATACGTATACTTGTGTAACCACTACACACCCGATACGCCACACAACCGCTACGCTGTGCTCTCTCTCTCTCTCTCTCTCTCTCTCTCTCTCTCTCTCTCTCTCTCTCTCTCTCTCCACCCTCTTTCTCTCTTTCTCTCTCTCTGTAGAATGTAGAGTCTCAGGAGCAGATCGATAAGGAGCGAGGTTTGCCTGAGGGTTCTCTACCTCAACCACCCTTGGTCCAGGCCTCCTTCCTTCGTTTCCTCCCGACGCAGCACGACGCAACTCGACGCCGACATAGACGTCAGACTTTCACGTGCGTGGCCCTACACTATACCCACCACTTTGCGGCTTACGAGTCGATACTGCCTGATCATGTTTGTTATTTATGGTTGGGTGTGAATTTTCAAGAGGCTAAAAATAAGGGTTGATAGGTTACTTTGTGCAGGTCCGCGCATATTGTTATCCGAAATAAGGTTCACGTGTGAATGGGTCTCGCAGGGTTGTCGCGGCGGATGTTTTATTTCTTGAAAAATATTTTAAGGGTCTCCGACCCTCCCGGCGCACGTCGATCGCTTAATTCGACGCAATGACCAAACGGGCGACAACAGTTGGCAGAAAATCTGTCGGCCGGAATCTCGCTCTCGGGAATTGTATCAATCTGTCATCGGTACGGGTCGGAGAGTGCGCGCCCCGACGCCCTCGGCGTCCCGACGCACGAGCGATGTCTACTATCAGACGGGTCAATCTCCCGGATGCACAATAAGGGCGACTCTCCATTACTTCCATATCATTTCGCACCCCTGGAAGAAAGCTGTAAGCACCACCGTCGACGCGGCCATATGGCTCGACGCTACTAGCTACTAGCAGCCATAGCCGCTAACTACTAGCCGGTAGCCACGGTAGCACGTAGATTATACTAGCGGCGTACTGTTAGTCGTTTTATATGGATTGTACTTATTGGCTGATACTTTTATGCCACTTTTCGGCTTTACGCCGTCTGGCTACTGCAGCCGGTACCTACTTTTTCCATATCTCCCCGTTCATCTTTCGATTATTAAATTACCGTCCCATAAATAATCCCTCCCTACCCGACTGGCTTATTTACCATTTCACTGCCAATTGACACCCCCTGCACAACGTCAAATCGCTATTCGTCATATTTCTTGTTTCTATTCTTCTTTTCTTTCTATTGGCAGGGGTTCCTACCAGATATTCCCTTTGTGCTTGATATAATGTATTAGTTATTCATTATCGATATAGATTCTATCGATAACGAAGATTGAGGTAGACGAATTGATAAAAATTTTATAGGTAACACAAAGTACTGATAAGGGCGTGGAACGAGATGGCCTAATGAAATTTACGTATTTCGCCTTACATACACGTCAGGACAATATGGTGCGCACTCGTAACACGGTGGGCTTCGTTAAAGCAGCCATATTCGCAGAACGGTCCCTCCTTCGTTATTCCAGGGCACCCTTGAGGATGGGCGGTGGTTGCGGGAAACACGCGGTTGATGCGACGTCGCCGGCGGCGCGTATCCATAACCGTCCTTTGTCTAGATAATGCAATTATTACCGCGTTTCATCATACCCTCCGGCCGAAATTAGCCTCAAATGAAGTTACAATTACGCCCGTAGAGCCGCCCCTAATACCGATGCCGACGCCGACGCTGCTGGTACTATCCCATGCCGCTGTGCCAACGCTCACGTTAACGGGGAGGATATACGACGACGCCCGGGACTTGAAATCCGGGTTGCCGTGGAAACGTCAGAGGACAGACGGAACCGCGATGAAACCGGATGGTCGTCTACTCCTGGCGTCCATAATGTGCGTCCCCCCTTTTGTTTCACTCTGGCTTCTGGAATACCGAAGTTACAAGCACTTCGCAAAGTACCGGACGGATCTGCTAGCAGACTGGATGGCTAAGGGATGAAAATGGTGACAGCGGGAACAAAGGGAAGGGAGAGAAAAGAATTTCCCCACGCGGCACTCGGGCTTGACCTCGGTATAATCAACAAAAGATAAGCTATCGGAGAGTGGCTCCTCGATTGATCTCTCTAACTTTCTTTATAGTCATATCTTCGCCCGTGACGATGAGACGAGACGTTATTATTGTCACAAAGAAAATTTCGATGATTATGAGTAAAATTATGGCGGAGTCGAG